AGAGGGAATTAGAAAAATCTATAGCTATACCTTGATGTCTTACTGTCGACTTCCCAATCACCTGACTTGTACAAAAAAAGGCTAGGACTCCAAACGGAGCTTGACCTTCTTCTCACTACAGAAGCTGAACGTCTCCTCCTCCGCTCTCGGGTCTATGTACGAACATGTTGACAAGGCGAGTCGCCTTCTGGCCCACCAACTAAAGGCCAGATTGGCTTCCAACCAGATCACCCAGACACGAGACGAGTCAGGTTCTTTAACCTCTGACCCAGATAGGATAAACAACATATTTAGGTCATTTTATTCTAAGCTGTATACCTCCGTGTCCTCTAACGATGAAAGTCAGTTATGTAATTTCTTTGATAAATTAATTTTACCAAAAGTTTCGCCTAATGATAGTCAGACACTAGATGCCCCTTTAACACTTTCTGAAATCAAAGAGGCCATTAGTTCAATGTGCAGTGGCAAATCACCGGGCCCTGACGGGTATCCTGTGGAGTTTTTTAAATGGTTTTCTGACCTGCTTGCTCCACTCCTACTCGGAATGTTTAACCAATCATACCACCAGGGCACCTTGCCACCCACGCTCATGCAAGCTTCTATACCTCTCATTCACAAGAAAGACAAGGACCCAGCAAGCTGTGTGTCCTATCGTCACAATAACAGAGAAACAAAGACCTCTTCCTCCTCCTCCTCCTCCTCCTCCTCCTCTGTCTCTAACAGAGTAGCAGTGTATGTGGACTGTCCTGCTGGCTCTCTCCTTCTACAGAGTCTCCTCTGACACACTGATCCACCTCCACACCTTCAACACCACATTCACTGAACCTCTCTATCCTGGGTTTAGGATCAGGTCTCCTGGTTCTTCAGTGTCTCTGTGTCATTTGTCGGTCTGAGAAAGTCTGCTGACTGAAGATCAGCTGACTCTGTTCACTCTGTTTCAAACTAATGAATTATTCTGATTTCATCACTTTGATTATGTTTGATCTCTTTAACCTTCAATCCTCAGTGATATGTAACATCTTCAAGAAACACCATGTTGAGATAAAACAAGATCTTTCTACGAGAGAATCCTTCATCCAAAAATGTAAATGTACTTCTTAGTTGTTGTTTAGTTTTAAGTTGGACCAATAATGACAAGATTTGTCCAACGCTGTATTTCATTTAATGCATCGATATAACGTGAACATATGAGAGATTACCTTTCTGACTTGCAGTAGGTTGTTCTTGATTTGTACTTTGCCTGTTGTTGTGCTGTCATTGATTTATATTTTTATCTTTTCTGTTCCATCTTGGACTTTTAATGATTTAAATTGTGTGGATTTTTAATTTGTGTGGATTTTAATTCATATTTGTACGAGTGGATCAGGAAGAGTATCTGCTACCTAGGTAGTGGCTCATGGGGATCCAAATAATCAATAAATAAAATGTAACTTTCATCTTTATCATTTATCATTTATTCAATCTTTATATTTATTGTAGCCTAGTTTAAAAAGGAGGTAGCGTTTCAGACAAAAAACTGTGTTTTTGTGAGGCGTCTGAAACGGTGTTATGGTTTAAAGAGTGTCCGTGTAATCTGGTGACTTTCAGCTGTGGTTGTCGTAAAGTCGGAAACACTCATCCAATATGTCTTCAGTATAAAACTACACAAAGAGGCACTTCATGTGTGGGTTATAAAGAAGTGCCTGGCCCCTCCCCCTCCCTGTGCCATCATTGGTTCGTCATTGATGTCATAATCAGACCAATTCAAAATGGACAGGCATCAGCTACGTGGTGGTAGATAAACAAAAACCAAAGAAAAAAACAATAGCGGCACAACCACTATTCAAAATGTAGCTGCTATTGCAAGCGTTTTTGTTCGTAAAGAAGCGAGGACAGAGACATCTGTTGGTGTCTCGCCACCTCCAGCAGGAGCATGTGACACCAGCAGTGAAGCTAACGTCTGCTCAACCAATAGGGCTCAGGCAAACGCAGCAGCGGCCCAGGCCGACAAAGCATCTAATTTGAACCAAGGAGGCGGCAGGGTGCAGGAGCAAGATGACAGTTAGCAGTGGAACGACAAGGGATTTTATCAAGTCAACTTTAGTTATACTTTAAGAATTATATTTAATTATTAACAATATAAATAACAATATCATTAAACTATGTTTAATCAACTCGGGGCACCACCCTGAAATCAGGGAAAAATAACCAAAATATCACTCAAATCAGTCTCAAATTAGTTATTTAATTATTCATATTATTAATAATTAATAACTGTATTTAATAAATTGAAGGCGTGAAATCCGTACACAAAGCCTTCGCACCCAGCTTATATCACAATGTAAATACACCAGTAATCACAAACAACTGCTCTCTTAAATTATAACAGAATTTATTTAAACAAAGCAACATCAATCCAAAATCAATGAACTTAATCAAACAAATCACGATCATAAACTAATCTAAGCAACAAACATTATCAAGCAAAACTTGTGGAGGAGGAGTAAAAGTGTAGATGTGTTGTGGGAGATGGCTTCATACCCACGTGGTCGCCCTTACGATGGCGCACACCTAACAAAGACCTGGCATGGTCTATTGTCTAAAGAGGCCGAGTTCGGCCCTGCACGATCTGTGTCTCTGAGGCGTCTGGATGGCCGTGAGTGTACAGATCTCTATGTGTGTGTGTGCAGCCTATGTGTGTACATCACGTGAGTGAAACGAACCCCTTTATAAAACGTCTGTTTACCGGCGGGTTAAATACGGCACCGTGAGAGAAACGGGTCTTATGAAGCGGTTCTGATTAATTGAATTCAGGATCAGGATGATCAAAGTCATCGCTCAGGTGTTTAGAGGGAAGGAGGGACCGTCATAGCAGCACAGAGTATTCTGTTTTATAGAACATCATGAGGTTAAAGGAGTACAACAAAGATATATATAATAATAAATGATTAAACATTTATTTAATCATTATTGTATAAACAGGACGATGTTGAGGAAAATGTCTGCGTTAATTATTCTGGTCCAAATATTGGATTTTTTTTGGGTCAAGCTGGATTTGAACCTGCTCAAACGTGAAGCGCCTCCGGTTCGTGGATTTGTCCTCTACGGCTACACGCGGCTGGCCTCCGCGTGGAAGGTAGCTATGCTAACCACTATACCACCAACGCCATGACATCTATGTTACAATTAAATGATTTAATAGACTCTGAGATGAAGGTGGAGACGTGACGATGTGTCTGTTTGACTTGTTTCAGCACATTTTACATTTTACACTCCGACTTCATCTTCAAGTTTAAATCTACGGTGGCTGGGAGGGTCAGGAGAATGCATTTACAAAACCGCTTTGCAAACTCCACAACATGAATGCTAAAGTAACAAGTAACATTAAATAATCACAACAGGTCCAGAATAAAGCTGCTCTCTCTCTCCTGTGGTTTCACATCAAATGTCTGTTGGTTAGAAGTCAAACACAGATTATTGTATTCACTGATGGTTTTCTTACTGAACGTAATAACAAATAAAACTCTTTTAACTTGTCAGATTATCTTTCAGTACTGATACACACCATCATCCAACGAGCTGTGGGAGGTCGTTCATCATCATCTCAACGCTCAGTAACGTACAGAGACAATTCACCAACAAGTCAAAACCCTGTATACAGTTTAAAAAAAACATTTTGTACAGAGAAGCTTTAGTCAGTACTGAAGGGACGATGAGCCTTTCTGTGTCACCGTGTTTATCTGTTAGACGCTGTAAAGGTTTTGTCTGTTTCTTTTGTTCATTTCTGTAAAACGTCTTTATTATTCTTTAGTTGTTGTAGATATGATGTTGTTAACGGGGGAAGCTAACAGGGATACAAACAAACAAACAAACAAACACATTGTTTCCTGGGAGCTCCTGAGCTCTCGGGTCTTGGAGGTTCCTCTGGATTGTTACAGCTCACACGTTGAGTACCAATCTGTTTAATTTGAGCCCTGCTTATTCTGAAATGAGGATTACATCAAGACCAGCAGAGAATAAATATTTAACTTTAATCAAACGGTCAAAAAGATGAAGATTACAGATACTGATCATGTTTGTCTACAGTTTAACTTTTCATACTTTTTTAATTCATTACACTGTGGAGGAAAATATCACAGAGCAACTTCAGAGTGGATAAGTTTTATTGGTGTTACAGTTTAATAGAAGAACAGAGTGACAACAAGGAGGAGGAAGTGTGGAGTTCAACAGGTGGACATCTTTATTCACCTGGTTCACCTTTATTCACCTCACAGACACACCAACTGTAGAAGGAAGATTTGAACCTCTCTGCCCTCATGAAGTTCAGATTGAAGGAGTAGAACTGAATCATCATCATCAGTGTTTTATTAAATGTTTAATCACACTCTTATCTCTAATGAAGGCTGTGACGTTTGAAACCCTGTTGCCATGGTGATAAAAAATCCTGTTCTATTTCCTGTTTATACATTATACTTTCACTTTCTCCAGTGGTGACGCAGTTCTGTTCTCCGTGTTGAAGGCAGAGTCCTGTAAAATATTATAATCCTCTGGTTGAAGGTAAGAGACTCTTTTCACTGTTGTTCAGACTCTCTGTTTAATTTAAGTCTCAAAAGAGCTGTAAGCTAACAGTTAGCCCCCAGGTTCATTAGCTGCTCTTATTACAGTAGAAGTAAAGGGAACACGATGACTCTCAGTTTAGCACGCAGGCTATGCTAACATGCTAACGTGCTAACATGCTAACCGGACAGTTAAACTCTTTTCACACATACAGAAATCTCTTGAACTCCGGTTTGGCTACCCGGAGGGGCTTTAGGCTATGTGGGGTGGTTAGGGTCCCCTTCCATGCAGAACAAAAAAGGAAACCCCGCAGCAGGGCGTCAGTATGGGCCTGACCACCACTGACCCAACGGTGGGGAGGGGAACCAGTGAATCATGTTTTAATGAAGTATTAAGAGTCATACTCAAAGTTTGAAGTGCTTTATTTACACTTTTTTCTGTATTTATTTTCACACGTCTGAGATGTGTTAAGTTGCTGCAGCTTATAACACCCAACTTCCTGATACGTCCCCCCCCCCTCCCCCTTCCTCTCTGGGTAAGAGGAAGTGAGTCAACATCAGGAAACCACTTCTACTCTGACAGATGAAGGGGGGAGGGGGACTCTCTCGGGCTCGCTCCACCTGTCACTCACTGCACGCCATGACAGCACGAGGAGAGGAGAAATGTCAGAGCATTCAGATCCTTACAGATAAAAAAAAACAGGAGAGAGGGTGAGAAGTTAAACCCTGAAGAGACATGAGAATGTTTATTCATGACATCATACGTTTCTTCATACCATGCTCAGAGCTCTGTTGAAGAGGTAAACAGACTCTTCTATCTGATCATTTGTGATTGTATGAAAACTTTTTATAATAGCTTTTAAAGCCACGGTAACTAAAAGCTTTTAACTTTTTGTTGAACCGTCATCATTAAATGTTGAATGACAGCTGGTGGGCTTCCAATATAAAATAACATGTATCTGAATGTAAATAAGGTGAGCACAGTGCATGAAGTAGAATCCAAACAGAGAATGATGATCAGAAAGTTCTCCCTCAGAGAGCCTCTCCATGTGTTCACACTATAGAACATCATACCTTAGATTTATAGGGCTTTCACACGAGCAGAAATGTTTTGCTCGAACTTCACCCAGAGTTTCTCCTCTCAGACCCCGAGTCATTTTTTCAGCAGCAAATCAGAGTGAGCTGAGAACGCAGCAGGATATTCTCTGGAGAATTCTGCTTGAGCCAATGGGAGGGGGAGTTATGTTTCTGTACTGTGACTGTAAGAAAAACTGATACTCCCAGAAAAGTGAGTCCAGCTTCTCTCCTAAAGTAAACTCTCAGTGCAGCACTGCACCACAGAAACTGGATCTCAATATGTGAGTGTCGAGGAGTCAATAAATAAGTGCAGCTCTTCCAGCAGGAGGGACCCCCTCCTCTGTGTCCTCACACTGACCCAACATGACTGTTGCTGCTTCCTCTGGTGTACACCTGTGACCATGCGGAAGACCCGATCGCAAAACTCAGCTTCAAAGCCCAAAGTTGCATCATAGATCCAATGGGATTATTATCCATCAAACCACGGATTAACTTCTATGGTCATGGCTACATGGCTATCGCCTCCCTTTTCCACCACGGTGGCCGACATGCAGCAGCGAGTTCGGGGCGAGCCACACAGCCACCAGACGCGGGCTGGAGAGCTGCTCGGATTTTGTTTACTCTTCTTCTACTTGCCGGCGATGTGCACTTAAATCCAGGCCCAACTCTACAGCTGACTAGCACTTTGGGTAATACATCTGCCTTTCCAGTGGAGCCTTTCTCACCCCACAAACACATAACGTGGACAAATGCTGTGATCATTTTACAACAGCTATCACTGGATTAATTGACAAACACACTAAAACATGGAAGAGCAGACCAATAAGAAACTCGCTCCCATGGTTTAGTCAAGACCTTTGGCAATTAATGAAAAGACGTGACTTTGCTCTTACAAAATGTCTTATCTCTAAAACTAACACTGATCATTTAATTTATACTGGCTTAAGAAACAAAGTTGTAGCTGAACTACGCAGGGTTAAGATGAATTATTTTTCAAAGCTTATTGAAGAGTCCAAAGGCAATAGCTCTGCACTGTGGAAGCACATTAACACTTTAACCAACTCCAATGCCTCAAACATCATAGAATTAAGGGTTTAATGATAAACAACACATTTATTTCAGACAACGCATCGGTTGCAAGTGAGTTTAATGCTTTCTTTATAGAATCAGTTCAGGAACTATCCAAAAACTTCAAACCTGTCGAGTTAAGACCAGACACACTCAGTCAGAAAACTCAAAATGGATTTTACATCAAAGAAGTAACTTTGGAAAAAGTCAGTAAGATCATGAGTAACCTGAACAACTCAAAGACTAGGGATATTCATGATTTGGACGGTGAACTGATCAAATATCATAGAACTCAATTACTTAAGCCAATAACACATCTGGTGAATATGTCAATTCAAACAAAAACTTTCCCTGAGAGCTGGAAAAAAGCCATTATCAGTCCAATTTACAAAAGTGGTGAGCCAGACTTGACATGTAATTATAGACCCATTGCCATTCTCCCAGTTGTGTCCAAGATATTAGAAAAAGTTGTTGCAGAGCAACTCATACTACATCTTGAGACAAACCACTTGCTGCATCAACAACAATTCGGATTTAGACCCAAACATTCTACTGAGACTGCAAAATGTTATCTTATTGAGAAAATAAAATGCTTTCTGGATAAGGGACATGTTGTGGGAGCAGTTTTCCTAGACTTGAAAAAAGGCCTTCGACACTGTTAACCACAATGTGTTGCTTTCCAAACTTTCTAAATTTCAATTCTCTGATCAGGCTTTGCAGTGGTTTGACTCATACCTAAGTGGAAGAGTGCAATGTGTCAGAGTCAGTGGGCAAAAGTCCATCTTCCGTAACAACAGCATGGGGATACCCCAGGGGTCAGTTCTAGGTCCACTGCTATTCAGCATGTACATCAATGACCTACCTGAGATCTGTCCTGCAGTTGGCTGCCAAATGTATGCCGACGATACGGTTATATACACACCTGCAAGATCTGCTAGGCAATCTGCTGCCCACCTCAATGACTCCTTGCACTGTATTGCAAAATGGCTTGAGTCTTCTAACTTAACATTAAATATTAAGAAAACAGTTTCAATATGCTTTTCTATGCTCAAACAAAGGGATAAAGAAACATTCTTAGTTAAAATAAATAATGAGACCATCAATGTGGTTGAAGATGTAAAGTACTTGTAAAGTGATTGTTCTAGACTCACCTACGATTCGAAAAACACGTAGATTACACCTGTAAAAAAGCGAGATCTAATCTAAACTGCTTCAGAATCATTAGAAAATACCTCTCATTTAGTACAGCTCAGCTATATATACATGCTATGATATTATCACATCTATCATATTGCATCAGTTCTTGGTCTCAAGCCTCACAAACAACTTTAAAGCCAATCATATCCCTATATAACCAATCATTAAAAATCATGGACAAAAAAACGATGAGATGGCACCATTGTCATGTATTAGAGGTGCACAATATGTTTAGCTTTGAAAGCTTCATTAGTATTTTATCCCTGTTGCATTCATAACTGCACTGTATTTATAACTGAACTGTTTTCTTTTTCTTACCCTTTTTATCTTTATCTCTGTTGTTTCTAAAAGCCTCCCGTGGACAGGTGTTGCAAATTAGCATTTTGCTATAAACTTGTGCATGGTTAAATGTTACAGCACCAATGTTACTGTATGTCCATGTTAAATAAACAAACAAATAAATAAAATAAAATAAGTTCTGTGTTAAAAAAAAAATGTTAAAAAAAGCCTTCTTGTACTTAGTAAAAATATATTTCTTGCTCCACTGAATTTATAGAAAATCTTAAATTTGTTTGCTAGTTACTTCTCAGATTCAGATTTATAATGCAAAATAGGATGAATACACTATTTGTCTAAATATCTTTATTACATGCCCTGTGAATTCACAAGGTATCCAGCTACAGGTATGTAAATAGGATTAGATCCAACTGTAGCAATGACAACAAAATGAGGAACACATTAATGCATTAAAAATATATATAATTAATATTCTGTAAAAGGTACATTTTTGCAAAGTAACTATTATTCATTTGTTACTCCAGACTAAAGTCTGATATGTTTGTACTCTAACTTCTGCAACTTGTTTGAGGGTATTTCTGTGTTGTTACTACTTTAGGCTGCTTAAGGTTAAGAACAGAGTCGGCTTCTTATTTAGTATCAAAACAAGTTCCTCATTTATCAGGATATAATCTCAAAATGCTCCAAAAGCCTCATTTGAATGTTACAATAGCTAGATTTTTCTTCTGGGGGAGAAACCCCCCAGACCCCCCTAACTTCATTTACTTTTCAGAGTTTCACTTGTTACCTGCTGCACCTGTTAATTTATATAGGCATTAAATTTACTTGACTGTAGGTCAAATTTGTTAAAAAGAAGCAAGCTCACATCTGTCAGCCTAGATCTTGAGCTTCAAAAAAGAAAAATGTGTCAATTTTATTTCTTAGATAGAAAACACCTTCAAATTGTTTTTTTGTCCTTGTTTTATACTTTGAGAATTTTTGGACATTTTCTTTTCTGCTTTAATCCCGGGCAGTGACATCACAGTGTTCACCAGTCAAAGAGTTGAGTGATCAGACTCATCATGATAAAGCATATCACTGAGTTTGTGTTTCTTTAAATAGAAATCCAGTTTACAGAGTAGCAGCTGATTTCAAAGATGGAGCTTGATGAGCAGAGGTCATATTTTTTCTAATTATCCCTCGGATCATTACAACAGAAAATAAAAGAATAGATCTTTAATGTCATTGCTATAAAAACAGTGAAAGGCAGTTTAGCAGCTCTTTGTCAGAGGCAGCACAGACAAAGAGCTCTGTTCTGCTTTTCTACAACTCTTTCATCCTCAGACATTTACATCACTCTCACTTCCTGTCTTCAGTCCATGTTCACCTCTCCCAGTACTTTCCTCCTGTTTCTCCTACTTCTCCACCAGAGGCCCTCAGAATACACCTCCTTCTCTTCTTTAAACAGCCCAGACCTTCCCCTCTATCCTACTCACCTGCAGCACAAAGAGAGAGAGAGACGTGACAAAGACAACAGCACCAACCCTCAGCAGGGTGGTAGAACAATTTACACTGACACACATTTCAATAAGAAAGCTCATAATATAAGAGCCACAGTCATAACATGCTTCATTAACTACACTGAGTCCAGTATTCAGGACAAGAACACTTTTATAATCATCAGAGACAGAGGAAGGATTCCTGCTCTCTATGAACAAACTTTAACTTGTGTCCTTTTTGAACTTTCTTGAATCCAGAAGTTCTCTAAGTGGTCTTATCCTCAAAATAAAGAAAACAATCTTGTTCCTCTGCTGAGATATGATAAACCATTGTTGTAGCTCCTTTCAGGTTCAATCTAGCTCGATGTTAACCAGAATATCTAATTAAGTCAAAGTTAGATATACTGTATTTTATTAATATAAGCTTTTCTAATACTAAACATACTTAACAAGATGATATTCTTTTAAGTTATAGAATATGACTTTTAAAGTTATTTTCATGTGGGGGACACAGAAGAAGTCCTTTAACCAAACACCAATCCTGCCTCGTTCCACGTCGACAGCCTGGTCAACATCTGTTTTCAGTCCACAGTCTGTCCCTCACCTGCTCCTGTTTCCCAATAAACAGTCTGGCCTCGGCTTGTTCATGGTTCTCTTTCAGAGGTCCAGCCAGTCTCCTGTTCCTACAGATCACTCTCTCAGGTTGTCCTTCTGCCCCCCCTGGTGGTCATTGGTAGTATCTTCATGAACATCTGTCTGTAGCTAGCCTGAGTTCTTTCTCTCTGAAAATGCAGGTTGGACTTCTAACCTTTATTGTTCCTGGTGTCATCTTTCTGAGCTGTGTTTATGTTTGAGTCTTCTTCTGTTAACTTTGATTCCATCAGTCTGAAGAATCTGAGGACAGACACAGTGTTGTCTGTATTCTGAGTGAGATACTGTTCTAATAGAAACAGAGAGAGCTGTGGAGAACTTCAGCTCTGCCTCCTGATCACTGATTATCCATCTGCTAGTTTGAACTGGAACAATCTGATTAAAAATGATCTTTGTTCTATAAGCTTTCATTAACCAGCTGTTTGTTTGTATCAGGATGAAGAGACAGAGACCAGACTCTCCTGGACCCAGCTGTGTGTCCATGAAGAGTGACCGGTCTAAAGGTTTATATATTGGCTTTAAAGATGGATGTCCTGCTGATGGAAGGTGAGATGTGAAAGTGAAGTTAATGTTCTGACTCTGTTGTTTAAAGACTCATATCTTGTCTCAGAGCTTCATGATGTGTTGTAGGACTCATCAGTTTATTGTTTCAGCAGTGACATCACAGTGTTCACCAGTCAAAGAGTTGAGTGATCAGACTCATCATGATAAACCATATCACTGAGTTTGTGTTTCTTTAAATAGAAATCCAGTTTACAGAGTAGCAGCTGATTTCAAAGATGGAGCTTGATGAGCAGAGGTCATATTTTTTCTAATTATCCCTCGGATCATTACAACAGAAAATAAAAGAATAGATCTTTAATGTCATTGCTATAAAAACAGTGAAAGGCAGTTTAGCAGCTCTTTGTCAGAGGCAGCACAGACAAAGAGCTCTGTTCTGCTTTTCTACAACTCTTTCATCCTCAGACATTTACATCACTCTCACTTCCTGTCTTCAGTCCATGTTCACCTCTCGCAAAAAAACCCTACTTCAAAGAAGTTAAATATTCTTAGATAAAGTCAAATTGTCTTGATTCAAGAAAAATAAACCTGCCAAAATAATTAGTTAGATTTATTTGTCTATTTTAAAAGTCGAGCCACTAAAAGATGATTCTACATCTTAATACATTTTATTTAAAGTTTTACAAAGTAGAGATAAAAACAACAAAGTAACAATACATCGATAAAATCAACATTAAAAAGCATTTACAGGATGTAGAGGATTTATGAGACTGGAAGGGGAATGATCAGACTGAATATGTCAGTTTATAAAGATGTGTTTAGAGATGAGATTTAAAAATGGAGAGAGTGTCAATACTACGGATGTGTGGTGGGAGGGAGTTCCAGAGGCGGGGGAGGGGCAGAGCAGCTGAAGGCTCTGGACCCCCTGGTGGACAGGCAGGTGGTGCAGTGAGGTGAATAGAAGAAGAAGACCTGAGAGTGCGGGTGGGTGTGTTGATGTGCAGGAGTTCAGAGAGGTACAGAGGAGCGAGGTTCTTTATCACTGAAATATTTCTGAAGAATACAAGTAATGAATAAACGAATCTGTTCTTAACAAATGACCAAGCTAGACAATTATGCATCGTAACAACATTCGTTCTGTATTCACAACGGAGCGCTACACTAGCTGCTCTGTTTTGAACCAATTAGACCATACTGCTGGGCAATAGTCAAGATTGGACAATATTAAAGCCTGGATTACCTGTTTAGTTAAGTTTTGTGTTCAAAATCTGGCACATCTTTTAATAACAATAATAATAATACCAGCTGTTTGTTTGTATCAGGATGAAGAGACAGAGACCAGACTTTCCTGGACCCAGCTGTGTGTCCATGAAGAGTGACCGGTCTAAAGGTTTATATATTGAATTTAAAGATGGACGTCCTGCTGATGGAAGGTGAGATCTTAAAATGAAGTTAACGTTCTGACTCTGTTGTTTAAAGACTCATATCTTGGTTCAGAGCTTCATAATATATGACACGTTGTTTTCTTGTGTCACAGAGTTCAACAGGAGAGCTCCGAGGTTCACAGAGATCAATCAGACCAGCAGAATCCAACAGACCTGGACTCCATCTTTATGGTCTGTTCAACACACTGTTATATAATTTACTACCATTACAATAATTTAATGCTAAGTTATTGTTCTGTTTAGACCAGCTGACCTTCAGACTGACAGATGAACCACATGTTGAGTTCTACCAGTTTATATTAAATATCCAGTGTCTCCTTCTGTTCCAGCTGCTGGAGGAGAACATCGTCACCTTTGTGAAGAACGAGCTGAAGAGAGTCCAGAGAGTTCTGAGTCCAGATTACCCAGAATGCTTAGAGAGTCAGAGTGAGGATGAAGAGCAGGGGAGAAGCTGTAAAGAGGATTTTTTGAAGATCACTCTCCACTTCCTGAGGAGAATGAAGCAGGAGGAGCTGGCTGACTGTCTGCAGAGCAGTAAGAACATTTTAACAGATTTAGCATTTTAGAAAAAGGACAAAACGGTTTAAAGTTCCAAACTCAGATAGTCATGTGATCTATATCAGGATCTGTTCATTGATTTCAGTTCTTTCTTTATTCAGGAACGTTTGGTGCAGTGCAATGTAAACTGAAATCTAACCTGAAGGAGAAGTTCCAGTGTGTGTTTGAGGGGATTGCTAAAGCAGGAAACCCAACCCTTCTGAACCAGATCTACACAGAGCTCTACATCACAGAGGGAGGGACTGGAGAGGTCAATGATGAACACGAGGTCAGACAGATTGAAACAGCATCCAGGAAACCAGACAGACCAGAAACAACCATCAGACAAGAAGACATCTTTAAAGCCTCACCTGGAAGAGATGAACCAATCAGAACAGTGATGACAAAGGGAGTGGCTGGCATCGGGAAAACAGTCTTAACACAGAAGTTCACTCTGGACTGGGCTGAAGACAAAGCCAACCAGGACATACAGTTCACATTTCCATTCACTTTCAGAGAGCTGAATGTGCTGAAAGAGAAAAAGTTCAGCTTGGTGGAACTTGTTCATCACTTCTTTCCTGAAACCAAAGAAGCAGGAATCTGCAGGTTTGAAGAGTTCCAGGTTGTGTTCATCTTTGACGGTCTGGATGAGTGTCGACTTCCTCTGGACTTTAAAAACAACCAGACCCTGACTGATGTCACAGAGTCCAGAGAGTCAGTGGATGTGCTGCTGACAAACCTCATCAGGGGGAAACTGCTTCCCTCTGCTCACCTCTGGATAACCACACGACCTGCAGCAGCCAATCAGATCCCTCCTGAGTGTGTTGACATGGTGACAGAGGTCAGAGGGTTCACTGACCCACAGAAGGAGGAGTACTTCAGGAAGAGATTCAGAGATAAGGAGCAGGCCAACAGAATCATCTCCCACATCAAGACATCCAGAAGCCTCCACATCATGTGCCACATCCCAGTCTTCTGCTGGATCACTGCTACAGTTCTGGAGGATGTGCTGAAGACCAGAGAGGGAGGAG